CCATCGGCTACTTCAGCGACAGCTTCGGACGCATCAACATGGCTGCCACCATGACTTTTCTCTGCGGCCTTTTTAGTCTTGTGATATGGATCCCAGCTTCCTCTTTCGGCGTCCTCATCTTCTTCGCCCTCATAGGCGGGACCGTGGCAGGTACGTTCTGGGCCACAGTCGCGCCGGTCATGGCGGAGGTCATGGGCCTGAAGAACGTGCCATCTTCGCTGTCGATATTATGGTTGGTCTTGATGCTGCCCGTGACGTTTTCGGAAGCGATCGCGCTGGAGATTACGGCGAGTAACGGCGGGAGGTATCTGGGCGCGCAGCTGTTTACGGGGTGGATGTATGTGGGCGCTGCGGCCTGTGCGTGGTTGCTGCGGGCGTGGAAATTGGGGCAGATGGAGATGGGGGAGGATGTTGTAAGTAGTGGTGGGTCTGGGGAGTTGGATGGGGTGGCGGGGCGCAAGACGAAGTCGAGTTTTTTGCGGAGGGTGGTCGCGTTGCGAAGAGTTTGATAGACGTTGCACGTAGCGATTATGAAACGAGACATTTTCAGGAGTCAGGTATGCAAGTACCACTGTCAGGAGGCCTCCGCGTCTCTGCGATCATCGTTCTTGGGGGGCTACGGGATGTGCGATTTGGAAGCAGAAGTCCTGTTGCTCGTTGACGCCATTGAGTTTCCAGAAATTGCATTGCTCGAGCCCAGCGGTATTACGGTGCGCGACATTGACCCACCTTCAGCTGAGCCCTGAACGTTACCGCATCAAGGCTTGCGACAATGACTTTATATGTTTTGTCATGTCTGAAAGCACCACAATTCAACATCCTCCGTGGCGCAATTGGCTAGCGCGTCTGACTGTTATGGATAAAAATCCGATTCGATTGGGTGCCTTGACATCAGGAGGTTCGTGGTTCGAGCCCACGCGGGGGAGGATGTAGATCTTCTTTTGCTCTTTTGTTGCACGTCTGTTCTCTTGTTAGTTTGAAGTGTTGTGTTGTGATGCGGGTTATTGGGTGGGTTGCAGATTTTCGGCTTGTCTTTTTTGTGCGGTGGATGTGGGTGGTGGGGTTCCCGAGGATGCTAGGACGACGTGTCGTGACCGGTGAACCGTGGCAAGATCGCAACGTCTTACTTCTCCTCTCTTCATTCTGTTACGCTTGGATCACGCGTAGGGATATCATGTCAGGCCTCCATTGCCACCAAACATTGTACAACATGATGCCAGCGCACCACCGGCGTGGCATCCTGGAGGTGAGTAGGCTGAATGAACCTTCTTTTCAAGGGAACAAGGCTCAGCCTCGCGTGGATGAGCTTTTTCATTCTACCGATCCTCCTCCAGTCCTTTTCTGTTATGATGAGTTCATCCAAACTCCCTCTATACCGATCAATTCAGTCCATCGCCAACCATGCTTTTCTTGGGCAAGGTGCCATATCCATACTTTTCGTTTTCACAAGTCCCACCCACCTTGGCTGATGAATCGCAAGAGGTGGTTTTAGATGCTTTGTGTCAAGGTTGCCTAAGCTTTGTTGCGAAGATCCTGACGTGTGGAAGTATCATCAATCCCGTTTACTATCTGTCTCTGGAAACGTTTCCCACTGAAGGCTGCCACTTGTGTTCGATCATGCTTTCCCATTGGCCTTTTATTAGAAGCCCAGTACCCCCGAAGGCTGATCTAAACCGTTTTGAACTGGGATGGGGAATTTCATTGCACGCGGAAACCCACACACTACGGATAAGTGGCACTCGATGCTACTATATAGCAGCTTTCTACAACAAGAGAGAGCATGAGGTTCCGGAATGGCCACGCTCATTTGTTCATCTTGTAATTATAGCCCAATGAGCAAGTCGATGATCCCAGTCAACCACACATCACGGTCAGAAGGAGTACGGCCTCTTCGACATGGTCAGCGGCGACTGTGTCTGCCATCAAATGTTGGCTGCAAAATCCCTCCTGTGCTGACGCGCCAATTTACCGAACCAGAGCGGAACTAGACGCTCCTGCAACTACACATCCGACCCGGCTCCTTCGTCTCGAACAGTTGCCGGATGGCGTCTTAATACGATTATTTTGTCTTCAGAGCTTTTTCGAGGCGTCAGTGGTCCCACAAAGTATGTGACGTTGAGTCATTGCTGGGGCGACCCGGTGAATTTGGAACCTTACAAGTTGACCGCTGAACGTATGCCGAAGACGTTGGAGGGTATGCCTATGGGAAACTTCCCGCGCATTTTTCGGGACGCTTTCAATGTTGCACTGGCGCTCGAGGTTTCGTATAGCTAGATAGACGCCTTGTGCATACTGCAAGACTCTGAGAACGACTGGCGTCGAGAGGCATCACGCATGGGCAAAGTGTACCAAAGTTCCCGGTTCAACATCGCAGCTGCAGCTGCCACCGACTGCAACGGAGGTCTGTTCTTTGATCGAGATCCGTTATCTGACACTCCATGTCTCATAGAAGTCAAAAGCTATTTTGGCTCGCAACGCTATTTTACTGGCGGAATGAATGATGGGTGGCGTGACTCTGTTCAACAGTCGCCCTTATTTGGGAGGGGTTGGGCATTTCAAGAACGTCTCCTTGGGCCTAGAACACTACATTTTGCTGGAACTCAAGTGTACTGGCAGGACAAAGAAATCGTTGCGTCATGTACGTTTTCGAATGGACTTCAGCCGGGCTTGCTGGACGAGGCGATTCTCAATCCACGTCCGGGAAATGGAGACTGGCTCCAGACATCGTATAGGGTGCTGTTGCAGTACACGACTACGCGCCTTACATACCCCAAAGATAAGCTTGTGGCACTCTCGGGATTAGCACGCCGGTTCCAGGAAGTCTATCCGGAGGCCCTCCGCGCCGACGACTATCTCGCGGGACTATGGAGACCAAACATAATACACCAGCTTCTATGGACCGTGTCGCGCGAGGCAACTCTGGCACCGTTTTATCGTGCTCCGTCATGGTCCCAGGCAGCGGTCGACGGCGGGATTAGTGGACTGGGTTCCTGGTGGGACAATGCCAGAGCTGACGAGAGCCACACGCTTGGATGCTTCCACGGTCGTCATGAAATTGAAAAGACTTACAACCGACTGAGCTCTGCTGTGGATGTTGCTGTGTCTTCTCTTGACGACGAATATGCTCTCGTCTCTGGTGGACACATTACTTTCTCTGGGCCACTATTTCTCGCGGAGGTCGAGCCTACGACCAATTCGTTCGAGGAGCACAAGTTGCTCTTAAAGGGGCTGAAAGCCCAGCACTCCTCATCAAGCGTCAAACTTGATCTTGGTCCAACGAGATCTACACTAGTCGAAGGACCTTGCCAAACAGTCTTCGGGCGTCTCATCTGCAAGCCACGTCTGTGCGCTACCCGTTCTTCTGCACTTGAGAAGGATTTGTGGGCTGTCGATATTGAAGGTTTGGTTTTTGAGAGAGCAAGAGAAGAAGGCGCACCAGCAGGGTTATTAACAAGAACCGGTGTGTTCAAACTAGGTGTCATGGCGGAGGGTTCAAGTGACGATGTGCTGCATCAGCTTTGCGTTTCCTCAGAAACACTGCCGGTACGCTTTTACGAAAATCACGATGGCGAGTCCAATTACGCATACACGATTGTATGAGTCACTGTCGGCGTAGACGATTTAATCATCCCTCACCTGCAGTTGATGTGTCACGTGCATGAGCTTCTCTTTCCTAACGATGGCGATGAAGCGACACGTCAGTGCACCAATTGTAGCACAGGGAGAAGTACAATGAACCAGCTTCATGCCCAAAGAACAAGAATACTGAAGTCATTGGAGGCCGGTAAATGGCCGTTGAGATCATAGGGACCTAGAAAATCCTCGACAACAGGTTTCGAGGCAACACTGAACTAGAAGCGATCAGAAACTACTTGCATCCGTCAAGCCAGATCCTCAGTCAACCTACCACAAATGCTCCAAACTCGTCGACAACCCTAGATTGTTTCTCTCTCCGACCAGTCTTCACTCCTCCTACATAGATGCAACACACCATCCATTTCCGGCCTCGCAGCCATCCTCTCGAACCACCATTGCCTACCCTCAGCGCCCATCCCACCGCCTCCATTTCCACAGACTGTTTCTCTTCTTCGCACCTCACCACCCACGTCCAACCCAGCCTCGCCCTCTCCGCTGCACAGACGTCCGGTCACCGCGTCCACAATACACGAAACACTGGCCCGGACACCACTGCGGCGCCAGCTTCGTCGCTCTCACAGTCTCTCCACAGAATAGAGGTGAAGGCGCCGTCATGGTCCTTGTTGTCATAGTGAAGGCAGTGGAGCGCGGTATGTATGAGCTCAACACCGTTGCGAGCGGTGACCAGCAGTCGAAGAGGCTGCTCGGGATGCTGGTGTCGAGGGCCGCGGTTGAAGACTTGGATTCGCGGATGCTCTGGGAAGGCGCAGAGGTTGCGGAGGGTTGAAGAGGTTGTGGAAAGGGTAATGTCGCTTGCGCAGGGCCGGAAAAGGAGGCAGATTGGTGCGGGGGTTGCAGGAGCTGTCGCGAAGGGAAGGGTGAGGGAGACGAGGCAGCGGTTGTGTTTACTGATGGAGATATGATAGAGGTCACTGTCGGGGCTGCCGTAGACGGCCGTGGACGTGGAGGGTGAAGACGCTGTTGTGTTGTTGGGCGCTGCTGCTGTGGAGCGGATTCTGAAGCGCCTGAATGTGCGGACCGGTTGCTTCTCTCTTCCACAGTCATCGTTCAATAGAGACCTATCGTGGACAGGTAAAGAAAGGGAAACTGTGTTGGGGGCCTTGTGGCTATGTTCGAAAAACGAAGCGTTTTGTAGGCCAGGTCCAAGAGCGACTCGGCATGGAGAGAATGAGCCTACAAGAAAGCGACCGTGGCATATCAAAGCAAACTCTTATTAAATTCCGGCGATAACGGGAATGAATAGAAAAACGAGAGAGGGCGGAGGTAGTAATCCTCTCCCCTACTTAATTGACGTCCGGAGTCGTACAGAATCAGACGGAGGAGTAGTTCCACGACATAGAGCTGCAACGAAAGAAAAAAGGAAAAGCATCAGGGGTATCATTCATCCGGTTCCTCCCCGATCACACTCTGCACTCTTGTTCATACAACGGTAGCACCCAACACAGCACTCACCCCCCTTCCCTCCTCCTCCCAACTCTCAAATCCCATCCTCACATCCCCCGCCATCCCCTCCACCTCCTCCACCTTTACCACCCTCCACCTCT